AATAGTATTTACATGGTTCTTATGGGCACTTTCAAATCTAAACTTGCTTCATTTATCTATGAACATACTTACATCTAGATTCGAAACACCTCAATCTGGGGAATGGCACAAATAATTTACTTATACAACATTTATCACCGCAGTTTATTTTTGTATAAATACAACGCAAGAATTAATATAACTTTGTATATTTCATTTTTAATAATAATATTTTTTGCGTGTCTGAACATGTCGTTAATATTATAGTACTTAAGGAAACCAAATATATAAATACCACACAAATCAAAGTTTAAAACAAATATACCGTGAGAATTGTTAATGAAATGAAATTATGTCACAATATTCCCAGAGTCAATACAGATAACGAATTTGTTTAAGGAGATAAAAAGTGAATATTATAGAAACACTTGTATTACTACAATTACCACTTATTGACTGATTTTGCAACATAAAACTAGATATGTACATCTTTGATTAAAAAAATTGGGAAGGAAATTTCCATATGCATTATGATGCAATGTATAGATTTGACTTCTCATTGAGGAAATAATAAATTAACCAATCTAACGATAAATCAATGCGTACCGAGTATATTTCAAAAATGTCACTCCATATTTTTTTTTAATTTTTTCAGTTAAACAAACGAGATTTGGTGTATTATTAGTATATGACATAAATCAGGATTTAATGGCGCATTCAGTTAGTTTTGGACACTTTTTGTTTCACCGGAAATGACTACAACTTTTGATTTTTTGACAACTTTAGATTTTACGGTCAGAATAATGACTCCTGAGCATTTTGTTTATTGATTCATATCAACACATGCTTTGATTAATTTTTAAGAGCAAAATGAACTGAACGATTAATTTGAAATTTTTTTAATTATCATTACTTTTTGATGTAATTTTTTAATATGACGAGATGGTTTTGGTGACTATTGTATGCATTGGATACTCAATACTAAATTAAAAAAAAAAGTTAAAGACTAGCGATACACTCCGGGTTTTAATAAACATTAATAACGATAACAGAAGTAACGATATTAAAGAAAACATCTGTAATACTCAAGTATACAAACGGAAGAAAAAAAATTGTAAAACAATACCCTGATACTTTGTATTGCCACCCTTGGCTGCTATAACTGCCTGTATACGTCCGTTCATACTGTCATTGAGGCTGCATATATCATATTGCGTTATGTTTTCCAATTTTGTTTTAAGGACCAAGCGAAGTTCATTTAATGAAGCTGGTACTGCTTTGCGATCTTTAACCCTCCTGCCAAGCATTTGCCAAAAGTCGAACATGATGGGCAATTCATAGTGGTATATAATTCATAATAATCACCAAATCCCTCTTGTCACATTGAAAACAAAAACTTCAAGAACGAAATGATAATTGAAAATTTTGCAAATTGTTGGTGGCAAGCTCATTTCGCTCTTAAAAATTAACCAAGGCATGTATTGATATGATCCAAAAAACAAAATGCTCAGAAGACATGGTTCTGACCGTAAAATTATATTTTAGGAAAATTTACATGCGAAATTATTGCACAGGGTGTTTTAAACTTAGGATAAAAAAACAACCCCTCGATTAACTCTGTATAATATGTCAAATACTAAAGTTTATAAAAAACTGAGTTTACGAATAAAAGGTGATATAATTATATACAGTTGCTGCTAAAAAAAATCGGCTAAAAAGAAAAAAATATAACACTTTAAATTTGACCAAAATTTTCTCCGTTGCGTTTTTTTGCATCTGTGTGTATATCTACAGGGTGGCCTATCGAAAACGTTCCGCAAGGCATAACGGCCAGGGTAATTTTTTTTTTCAGAAAATTCAAAAACACGTCAATTTTGTTTGTGAGGGGGACAACTTTTGCCCCAAAAATTATTGCAAAATCTTCAACCCTCTAAGCAGGGGGGTCAAGGATTACCGCAATGAAAAGGGCTTTCTATTCTTTTTACTTTCCTGCTTCGCTTTTGAAGATCGGTCGAGTCGTTGGGAAAATATGAAGGATTGAAATTTGAAAAGTTTTTTAAACATTTATCAGAGTAAATGATAAGGATAAATTTCTTCGACTAATTTGCTGTTTTTTCTTATTATTTCTAGATGTTTGCAATCGGGTTGCGCAGATTTTCAATGAACGCCATCCTGACAAACACCTTTATGGCAAAATTGTTCGCCAGTTAGTAGCAAAATTTCGCGAAACTGGTTCCGTTATGAATAAAAAGAGGCAGAGGGAAAATCCTGTAGTAAATGAAGCTATGGAGGTATTCGTATTGGGCCAAGTTGCCATGGACAGTATTCTGAGTACAAGAAAGAGCGTACTAAGTACTGAGTACCGGCGGGAATCGTACAAGTTTCCAAAGAATATTAAAAAAACACAAGTTCCACCCTTACAAAATTCAGTTGGTACAAGAACTCAACGAAGACGATTTTGATTTTAGCTTGCAATTTTGTGAAACTATGAGTGAACGAGTGGCGAATGATAATAATTTCCTATTTAATGTGTGTTTTTCGGATCAGTGTACTTTCTGTTTGAACGGTGTAGTTAATCGGCACAACGGTAGGTACTGGGCTGAGGACAACCCCAGGGATTTTCACGAGGTGCACACACAAAACCCTCAGAAATTGAACGTGTGGGCTGGTATTTTTGGAAATTCTATTGTAGGTCAGTTTAACGATATTGAGAAGAACTTCAACGTACAAGTCACAGAACAGCTATCTAGCAACTACCGCACCTGACCGTTCAACGTTGTGGCAAGGGAAAAAATGCGTAAACATCTAGAAATAATAAGAAAAAAACAGCAAATTGGTCGAATTTATCCTTAATTATCATTTACTCTGATAAATGCTTAAATAAACTTTTCAAATTTCAATCCTTCATATTTTCTCAATGGCTCGACCGATTTTCAAAAACGAAGCGGGGAAATATAGAGAATAGCTCTTTTCATTGCGGTGCCACTTGACCCCCCTTTCGATTTGAAAAAAGTTGGGGGATGACACCCCCGCTTAGAGGGTTGAATATTTTGCAATTATTTTTGGGGCAAAAGTTGTCCCCCTCACAAATAAAATTGACGTGTTTTTGGATTTTTTGAAAAAATAAATACCCTGGTCGTTATGCCTTGCGGAACGTTTTCGATGGGCCACCCTGTATGTTATCACTTGAGATATTTATTTTAAATATATCCTGAAACACCCGTGTCGTTGATGTCGACAACTGCTAATTTTAATGCAATTTCCTAGTATATCTATTTCCCTATTATTGTACAACGTGTCCTATTTTTGTTGTCATTGGCAGATATCTCCGTTGTGGTTGAAGATAAAGAATTGTGGATCCGCGAATGTTGGTTACTTTATAGTAAAACTTGCAATCCCGCAATCAAAATTGTGATATGTTTCTTCTGTGAGGCATAAAATAAAATTTATATCGTATCTCTGTTATTTTTCAACACATTAAAAATCGAATAACTGGTTTGTATATAATTTTTGACATAGATTTCAGTGTTTCAGTCAGATTTTTGATATGAATCGTCATTACTTAAACATTGGCTTTAAATGTAATAATTTTAAACTGTAGAAATACCGACTGCATTTCAAAAATTGCTCACCTCTATAACTTTTTTATTTTTTCAGATAAAAAAACGAGATTTGGTATATTAGTATATGACATAAATTAGGATTGATTGAATTATTCAATTGTTTTTGGTCACTTCCTGGTTCACCGGAAATGACTACCACTTTTTATTTTTAAAAGGCACCTTCGGTATATTATTTCTACTTAATACTTTGAATAAGAAGACTAAGGAAGGAGCATATCAAAAATCTTAGGTACACCGCGATGGGCCTCAAATATGGCCGACTTAAATTCCGGTTTATCAGTGTCGTTCTAATTTTATTTAAAAAATGTAAAACTATGATGTAGGGTAGACGTGGGGTAGACTCAATAATTTGTTGTTTTATTTTACGTTGTGAATAAATCTTGGTAGTTATTAATATTGTTATAAAAATATATAATTCTAATAAAAATAGATAAGTTATAATAAGTATTTATTACCACAAACATCCGATACGCTACTGAAGCAGGTAAGTCAAATTGACGTATCTAAATTCTTTGACATCTAATCTTTGACAAGTAATAAATAAAAGCTAAAATGCAAGAAAAATATATAATTTAGTTAATTTAAGTGAATTTCATAAATGATCGGTTTACTACACGTATGTATATTATATAGTCACTTACTAGCGAAAAGTTGTTCCATTATTTCACTCAATTTTTGCCGAGATCTACCGCACGCTACACAACCCACTATTTTAGAGTCATCGATAAATCGCGATAGTGTCACTGTTAATTTAAGTGCTGCCACAATTTCCATCTAGATTTACTACCTTTATACAACTATCAGTAGTAGAATAAATAATAAAATAACATAAAATAAGCTCCGTAAAGACTGACAAATCCACAAAATTTCAAATCAAATTCAAATGTGTCAAATCAATCGTCAAACAGAACTGTCAAGGATCCCCACCCTAGAGTGCTTTTATGGCGCTTTTTCCGCCCACCATGCATGAATACATGGATAGCATTATGCTCCTTCCTTAGTTTTCTTATTCAAAGACTTAATATAATAGAAAATGACACTCTGAATAGAATGACATATCATATGTCAACCCTTGACATTTTCGCATATGGTTTTTTTGAAATTGTAACATGAGGTTCATAACAACAATTTGACTCGAAATACCAAACGTGTGGTATCAAATTATACGTAAAAAAATGCTTTTTCCAAATATGATAATGAGCCACCCTCGTTCCATTTGAAAAAATTGAGATATGACTAAATATACGAGTTGGCCATCTTTTAACCGGCCAGGAAAAGACACTAACTTTAGACGATCAAATCTATTTTTCCAAGGCTCCTTGATTAAAAATTAGTATTTTTAACATAGCCATGGCACTCTAGATTGAAATTTAAGATACGCTTTTTTATTTTTTCTAGCTGACGAAGAACCAGCCGATTTTGAAACGGCCATAACGGCAGCAGGATGGGGTAAATTTCATCTGCTGGTCTATGTGTTGTCTATAACATCAGGATGGTCGTCAAATTTCGAAACAACAACCATGTCGTACGTTTTTCCTGCAGCTGAATGTGATTTAAACCTTAATCTCGAACATAAAGGTCTGCTAAATGCAGCTACGTATATAGGTAAGAATTAAAACATATTATTTTACTATTTTAACATTAATAATTTTAAAATAAAAATTTTCATTTATTTTTCGAATGAGGTAAGTAAAGTCAACGAATTTTGAGTGGCACTGTATATTTTATTGAGTGGTTTATAGCTTTTTTTTTCCTTTTTTAATAAATGCACATTGGTACCATTTTCTTAAATGGTTATTTTTTCCATTAAAAATTAATAATTATTTAATATTAAAATTGGTCCAACGAGAATATCCTTGACAGTGACAGATCATTATGTATAATTTTGGACGTCTTTCAACAGATTGAACTGGTTAACATCTCGTTTGTTATATGATTTATTAGATATGTTTTGATAGTTTTTTGTTGTATTATTCATTAAATAACAGTAATTTAAAATTAGAGAAGCCCTAAAATCAAAAATTAGGCCTTAATTTCCAAGCCGTTTAGTAAATAACTATACTCAGTAATTGCTAATATCTTTGTGGATGGTTCGTTTCTTGTAAAAAAACTGGGTATTGTATCACAGAAACATAAATCTATGTAAAGTAACCAAAAATGTAAAGTACAAAAAGTAGAAAAAAATTACCAATCAAATGTGAGGAATTAAATATCCCAAATGGGGGCTGCAACTACATTTTGATGTTTGATGCTTGATCTCTCTAAAAATATATAGAAAACAAAAACCTATTTGCTAATATTTCAGGTATGATTTCTAGTGGTCTCTTCTGGGGATACTTGTGTGACACGTTAGGAAGAAAGAAACTATTGATAGCAGGTTTCCTATTGGATGGAATATTCGTTATGATATCTGCGATGTCTCAGAATTTCGCCATGCTCATAACGGCGAAGTTCTTTGGTGGTTTTATGTAAGTTCTTCTAATATTATTATTTTAGCTTACGATATTCATATAAATCAATTTTAAATTCCAGTTAATATCCAAAACTTTTTTATGAATTGAATAATGCCATAATAAAAAAATATATTATAACTCAATTTGGGTATTATCACAAACTGTTACATATATAATAATATATAATCAAAATGAATAATCAAACAAAGATATTATTTGTTTCATATTTCATTAAAAGAGATGAAAGAACTTCTATTAATAGGTTAACATTGGCAATTTTTATACCGGGTGCGTCTCAAAAGTGGCTCACCCCTGTAACTTTTTTATTTTTTCAGTTAAAAAACGAGATTTGGTATGTTAGTATATGACATAAATTGGGATTGATTGACATATTCAATTGTATTAGGTCACTTCCTGTTTCACCGGAAATGACTATAACTTTTGATTTTTAAATGGCACCCTCGGTATATTTTTACTTTATTCGATAGAAAATAACACTCTGAGTAGAATGACATATCATATGTCAACTTTTGACATTTTCGCATATTTTTACTTGAAATTATAACTTGCGGTTCGTAACGAAAAGTTGACTCGAAATACCAAGAGTGTGGTGTCAAATTATTCGTAAAAAAATGATTTTTCAAAATATGCTAATGAGCAACCGAAATTTTCCAATTGAAAAAATTGAGATGTGATTAAAAATACGATTTGAGCATTTTCTAACTGGCCAGGACAAGACCTTAAAAACATTAGATGATCCATCATTAATCTTATTTTTCCAAGGCTCCTTGATTAAGAATTAGTATTTTTCACATAACCATGGTACTCTAGATTAAATTTTAAAATAAGATTTTTTATTAAGCGAGAATGTCAAAAGTTGACACATGATATGTCATTCTATTCAGAATGTCATTTTCTCTCGAATAAAGTAAAAAAATACCGAGGCTGCCATTTAAAAATCAAAAGTTGTAGTCATTTCCGGCGAAACAGGAAGTGGCCAAAAATAATTGAATACGTCAATCAATCCTAATTTATGTCATATATCACACCAAATCTGGTTTTTTTATCTGAAAAAATAAAAAAGTTATAGGGGTGAGCCACTTTTGAGACGCACTCGGTATATTACATAAAATCACTGGTTTATCGTTTATTTCTCCAGAATTAATGGTCCATTTTCTGCACTGACTGCATATCTCTCAGAACTGCATTGTGCCAAACAAAGGAGCAGAGTACAAATGATTTTAAGTGTGATATTCAGCTTTGCCTCTTTGGCAATGCCTGCCTTAGCCATATTAGTACTGCCTCTAGGATTTAAATTTGTTGTGACTGAAAATTTTGGTGAGTTTAATAATACTAATGCAAGAATTTAGGATCATCTTTAACACATAATTTATAAAACTTAATATGATAAACAAAATCAATGTATGCACCACAAAACAACAAAGTGTATTCACACATCAAACCACTATCAAAAAACATTCTTTTTGACTTTTATATTTTTTTACTTTATTATAATATACAGCTAATAAATAAAACAACCGAACAGCAGTCTTTGACAAAAGTCTGATGATGGCTGAATAGCCAAAACCGATCACAGATAAAGATTTTTTTGATAGTGGTTTGGACATTGATTTTGTTTATCACATTAAGTTTTATCATGAGTCACTACTTTGTGACCCATATGTTTTTTTTTGCTATTCTACAATTCATGTCTTAATTGATAAAAGGAAAGCCTTTACTACGTAAAAAATACGTGTGACAAAACTTGAAGATGTAAAATCAAGGTGAAACTTGTAAATAAATAACAATTTTGTTATCAAGTTCAATTTTTAAAAGCGAAAGTTGAAATATGAGTTTGCATAGAGAAAACAATAGTTTTCCTTGTTTCTTTTTATCTTTTATTTTCATAGCAGAGTTATTCGCCCTCTATCCTGCTCAACATAAATGTCTTAATTTTAACAATTTTATAGACGTTTTTTATAGTAATTGTTGATCACAGCAATTAAAATCATCCTGTATATTTTACAATGCATCTTATGTATTAGAAATAATAGTAGACATAAAATATAAAATGTTAAAATTTAATTTACTTTTTGTAGTAGATAATGTATTTCTATGTTTTATTCTTCACTAATAATCATTTTATTTCAGTAATCCATGCCTGGAACGTATACTTGTTTATATGCGCAGCTGTGCCTTTAACAAGTGCTGTAGCATTCCTATTTTTACCAGAGAGTCCCAAATTTTTAATGACAACCGGTAGAAATGAAAAGGCGTTGAGGGTTTTTAGAAAAATTTATTCCATGAATACTGGAAAACCAGAGGAAACTTATCCTGTAAGTTACTACTATAGTTTTTAGTTAATCTGGAACAGAATAATCTTCGAAATTACCTATATCTTCAAAAATAGGTAGAGTTGGATAAGTACTTCAAATTAAATTATTTTAAATAAAGCACTACAAAATACAAAATGCCATTTCCTCTTTTCCATTTTAAATCCTTTTAAAAAAAGAGAAAAAATATCCAAATAATTACCGAGATACATTAAATTACCTTAATCTATACTAATATATAAAATCCTTAAGTGACTGACATACTGATTAATCACGATCCTGCCCAAACCTCTCAACGTAAGAAGCTCAATTTTGGCATACAGGTTGATTCTAGGGTGTAGAGGTTCGATAAGAAGGGATTTTTCGAAATTCCAGTTCCAAGTGGGTGAAACCACCCCTCAAATATTATAATATTTTTTATTTAAAAAACGGCCAAGTTTCCGAAAAAAACGCTTAAACACGTATATTTTATTTTCTTTTTTACATATTTTAAGATTTTTAAAAATGTATACAGGGTGTTTCGAAAAAGCTGGTCATTGATTAATCACGATCCTGCTTAAAGCGCTTGACGTAAAAAGCTGATTTTTGGAAAACAGATTGACTTTAGGGTGTAGAGGATCGGTAAGAAGGGATTTTTCGAAACTCGAAATCTAAGGGGGTGAAACTATCCCTCAAATATTAAAATATTTTTTATTTAAAAACCGGTGAGTTTTTCGGAAAAACTCTTAAACACGTATATTTTATTTTGTTGTTTTACATATTTTAAGATTTTTTATAAATTTATTCAGGGTGTTTCATAAAATATGACCATTGAGTAATCACGATTTTGCTTAAACTGTTTGACGTTTAAAGCTGATTTTTGGCAAACGGATTGACTGTGGGGTGTAGAGGTTCGATAAGGAGGGGTTTCTCGAATCTCAAATTCCAAGAGGCGGGTGAAAACGCCCCTCAAATATTACAATATTTGTTATTTAAAAAACGGTTAGTCTTTCGGGAAAACCCTTGGACAAGCATAATTTATTTGTTAAAGTTGAGTAATTTTTTAACCACGATTCTGCTTAAACTGCTTGACGTAAAAAGCTTATTTTTGGCAAACGGATTTTTCGAAAGTCAAATTCCAACGAGATGAAACTACCCATCAAATATTGTTTTTTCTCATGCTGAAATAAATGTGAGCAAATTTTATCCAGTTTGTATGTTAATGGAAATTCTTGCTTTGCTTTATCATCATCATTACAAATGATTAATTCGACGCGAACGAAGTCGCTGGTACACGCTAGTATAACATATATATTCATTTATTACTCTCTAGCTAAAAATAAAATACGCCTTTTTCATATGTTTTTTACTAAGTAACTTCTTTATATATTTGTAGGTGACAGTTCTAGTAAACGAAATCGAACTAAACAAAGGTAAAAATCACGGTAAGATGACTGCCAACCGTACAAAAAAGGAAGCTTTAATCGAAGGATGGTCTCAGGTTAAGCCTCTGTTTCGTCCACCCTACCTCAGTAAAATCCTTTTTGTATGTCTGATTCAGTGCTGTACAATCACCAGGTAATGCATCTATAAACATAGACTTGATAGAACTATTTTTAAAATAATTTTTAATCAGCTTAAATACTCTACGACTATGGTTACCTCAATTGTTCCAAGCGGTCAACGACTATCGACAATTTCATGAAGAATCAGCTCCACTTTGTGAAATGTTGGCTGTTTTTAAGACTAAAAATAAGACTGTAGAAATAGTGAATCCTGGAGAATGTGCAGTGGTAAGTTTCCTTCATTATTAATATTTTTCCCTGATAATTCTTTTCTAAAATGTTATTCTCATAATATTCAATATATATTATAAATTTACTTAATAATCATACTAATCGATGTTAAATTTTATTTCATTTTCACTTATATAAATTTACATGTTACAATTTCTCTCCCATCTAGAATACCAACAATTATTCGGTCTACATCAATTCGATGATAGTTGCAGGTGTTACAATTGTAATATCAATATTGTCGGGGACAGTTATCCAGAAAGTTGGAAAGAAACGTCTATACAGTAAGTTTTATTATATTTCTTATTTATAGCATAACTAAAAATATTAATTTATTTTTATTTCTTCAGTTAGATAAACACATTAGATCTTTTTTAATTAGTATTGACGTATCTTACCGATTTCTTTCTGTAGTTTTGAATTTAATCCTATATAGGGTGGTCCGAACTGTATTTCGGAAACTGTGTGTTTATACAGATAAAAATAAGTAAAAAAGTTGGTATAAATGTATGTCCTAAGATGCTGTAACGTTTTTAGTTCGTTACATGTCTTTGATTATGATATATGATGTCTGGCGTATCATCACCGGATTCGCTATCGTTCAGGCCGGATAATTTGTTTGACGCGCTTGGCGTATTTTTTACGTTCTCTAGTCCACAACCCTGTTATCGTTTGACACAACCCTGTTATCGCTCTGTGGAGGCGCTGTCAACATCGCTTCTGTCAACTCTCTCCGTGCTTAACCTCACTTTGTTTTGTTGCTCTGTTGTATCCCGGCTTTTAGAAATGGCAATTTAAATCTTACTGCAAAATCTGAATCAGCTGCCATTTCGAAGCTACAGGTAAAAATGAGATATTATCTTTTTTGATTCGTTATTATTACTGCGTATTTTTAGGGTAGAGTTTTGGATGTCCCAACCTAACTTGTATTTGTATTTTGCTGGCACGTTGGCGTCCCTTTTCTTTTGTCCTCCAGAATGTCACATGGAAGAAAGGACATGTTCTTTATTATTTAGTGAGCCCTCGGAAGTAATTCGAGGTAGGTTCATTTGTTTATTAGACCTTGTTTGATTTTAAACAAGAGTTTCGTATTTTTAGGGTCTTATGGACGGACTGTGTCCAAGGTTATGGTCCAAGGTTATGGTCCAGGTTACGGACATTATCCAAGGTCCTAGTAGTGTTCCAAGGTACGGGTAGTGTCCCCATATTGCCACAGTATGGATACAGCGTAAGCCCCATGCTGCTTCGCTCCCATTTCTAAGCCTAGTCAGTAGCTGCGGCTGTATTGATTCATGGTGTCCTCATTCTGGTCCCTTTTGTTGTTTTGGCCAAAAGGATCGCCGACAGACAGTACAGAGATATGAGCCCACCTCACGCTGCTACTCTTTGAAACCGGATTGCCTTAAGAACAGCTAAGTGTAGATTTAGGTTCTGGTTTTCAGTCGATTTTCAGTCTTAACTTAACGTACATTTTAAATAATATCGTACAGACTATATTTAGTGGTTAGATTATTAAGAACATTTATGTGAATATAGACATTTATGTGAATAGAGAATATTATTTACATACATAGCTTTACTCGACATATAACCACTATAATAATTATTAAAATTGTACAATGCTATTTACCATCAGGATACATCATGAATGAATATAGTCACTAGTTTTAAGTAATAAACAACTGTGTTTTCTTTCTCTGTTCATGCCTGGCGCCCAATATTTATAATTTCGAGTTATTATTGTTAATTAGTTCTTTCCAGTGAAATACCTTATCCACTACTGCTCTACCAACGAAAAGTTGCCGTTCGCAGTGGTAATGTTTATAAAAAACGCTACAATGCTTAGTTTCGGAGATACAGGGTGTAGAAGTTTCATTCTTATTTCGATTTTTTCCAAATAATTTATGAAGTACAGTTAATATTTGGATGAAAATTGGTATCTGGGAGTTTTTTGAGATGAGAAATTTGATTTTGATGTCAATATGACTCCTACTTGTAGAAGGCACCACCTACATATTTTTTAACTGGTTGCAGTTAATTTTTCGTCCGCTGTATAAAACTACTGAGTAAAAAATATACATTTACTATGTTTTTTACGTAAAAAAGGTCCCTTAGTAAAAATCGCTACAAGCAATGGTTCTCGAGATATTTGGAATCGAAATTATCAATACCCGTCATCATTGACATAAATTAAACATGTTGACTAAATAGTTACTAGACTAAAATCGTAAATTGAAATGTTTTTGTGCCAAACGTTCAACAGGAACAGTTTTATCATCATTTTTTCGATGAAAAATTTATGATTAATTTAAAAAAATAAAAATTTCCCAAATAAATTATTTCAATCAAATAACCATCTACTCAGCGTGTTTATTTTTTTGTGAATAATGACATGTATTGACTATTTCCATTCTAAATATCTTGAGAACAATTGCTCGTAGCCAAGAGACATTTTTTACCAAGAGACATTTTTTACGTAAAAAGTCACGGAAATGTATATTTTTTTCACTTAGTTTTTATACAGGTACGGACGAATAGTTATTACTCTTCAAAACAGTTAAAACACATGCAGGTGGCGCCCCCTACAAATAGAAGTCATATTGACATCAAAATCGAATTTGTCATGTCAAAAAACTCCCAGACACCAATATTCATCCACATATTGACGTTACTTCAGAAATTATTTGGAAAAAATCGAAATAAATATGAAACTTCTACACCATGTGTCTCCGAAACTAAGCATTTTAGGACATACATTTATACGAAGTTTTTTACTTATTTTTATCTGCAGTATATTCTACCGAAGTTTCCGGAATACAGTTCGGACCGCCCTGTATAAAAAGTTAAGGTTACATATAAACACTTAGTTGACTTGATAACAAAATAATAGTGTATAGAATCTTCTTTACTGATACAAAAATAGTTTTAACCTTTGCATTGGATACATATGAGTCAATATGAGTAAATATATATAATATGATTTTAGGAAGCATAGTCTAAGGAAGAGTAGATTATATTGATCAAATCCTTCACATGATAGGATTGGAAGATGAAAAAAATATCTTGTAAATGAATAATATTAATATTACGTAATTTTTTATCTTTCAGTGGCTCTTAGTACAGTGTCTGGTACAGTGGCAATATCACTGTATTTCTCTAGAAGCATGTTCACAACATTGGCTTTTGCTTCACTATTCACCGGAACTGGCACGGTGATGATTAATGCACTTCTGGCTGTTATTGTCGATACATTCCCGACAACTTTACGGTAAGCTGACTGTCTATGCGATAGCTACCCTTTAGCATACAGACCGGACCACCGTAGTAGTAACATAGGCAGAACCGGACGAATTAGCGTATACCCGTCCGCCGGATAAAAAGCAAGCGAAAAAATGCGATAAAATAAAAATAGGTCGATATGTGATAAGAATGTTTCAGAATTTGTATTTATTCGTGTTTTAATAGAAAAAACGAATACGTAGATTTTCGCGACAGTTCTCGTGTTATATTTCTTTTTTAAGTAAAATAATGGATGTTTATGAAGTTCGTGAGAAAATTCAAATTGTAAAATGGTATTTCCAAAATAGGTTGCGAGGCCAATTCCATCTTTATCTACTATATCAAGAGTTATTAATAATTTTGAAACACATGGGTGCGTGTCCCCACAAAAACACAAAGAGCCTGCTGTGTTGATTAATGAAGAACAGGAGTTAAAGCAAGTGTTCGTTTGTGCTACCGCGGATGAAAATCCCACGTTTTCAAGTAATCAAATTGCTGAGGTGGTTGCCCTGCCTACAATGCCCGTATTGTTCAAGAATATTTGAACAATACTTTTCCCAACCGTTTAATTAGTGGATATGGAACTATTTTGTGGTCCGCTATATCACCAAATCTTTCTCCCAATGATTTCTTTTTGTGGGGTTATGTCAAATCCAAAGTGTGTGGTCATAATAGGGCTAATAATTTGGATGAGCTTCAAGTAAAAAAACATTTATAAATAAATTTGTGCATTTTTAGTTTCTTAAAAATGGAGCAGTGTTCTAAAAACCGCATCTTTATATCTCTACTGATAAACGAGAAACCCCTTAATACACACGATAATGGGACACCCTATTGAACAAATTTACCGAGTTTTAGTAACATTTTGAAGTTGGTGTATTTGTCTGTTACAGATTATTATAGGATATGAAACTGGCTACATAGCACCTAATTTACATTTCAAAACTCCTAAAGAAGAAATTAAGTCGCTAATAGACGGTAGGCTTAAAGTAGTTACAGAGAAAACCGCGTTTAAGGATGACAGGGGCTTGGTAGGTAGGTAGAAACATGTCGTAGGTATGATGAAAATGTATTCATTCATAAAAAACTCATAAAACATTAACGTATAATTTATACCAACAGTAACTATTATAAATAAATATATTTAGGAATCAGCAGCTTTGGATTTGGAGGTAGTGACTGCCACATACTCCTCCGACATAATCTTAAGGAGAAAGTAAACCAGGGTAGACCATTTGATAATATACCTAGATTGATTTGTACTAGCGGTAGGACGCCTCTTGCAGTCAGCAATATTCTAAATAGCGTCATAGAAAATAAATTTGATGTAGAGCATATCAGATTGCTACATGATGTTTTTAGGTACATTACATAATTTAATTTATATTATTCTAACTTTCTCTATACAAAATTTACAGATTTTAAAATACCAACAATATTATGAAATAAACTACTTAGCGACAACACGATCAAGTAACACAAGTAAAAACACCACAAGTAAAAATACGAGAGGCTTTCCAAACTATTAGCCCTAATATGTTAGCCAATGTCAGACGGGGATTTTACGACCGCCTAGGCTTCTGTCTAGCACAAGAAGGTGGTCTTTTTGAACACTTGTTATAACTTTTTTTATTTAGAGTAATATTATAGTTTTTTTTGGGTTTAGAGAATTTATTTATTTTTAGTTTTGGCTTGTAAACACACTCAAATAATAAATATTTAAGTATTTTTATTTTAAATGTTACCTTAAGTGAAGGTAAAAACTTAAAATGAAAATAATAAATACTCGGCACTCGCGTCATATTCCTAGTCTGTCACGACCAACCCGTCCAAGCACAACTGCAACTGCGTACTGCCTGACCAGCCGACTAGCCGGCAGTGACTCTCGAGTACGAACGCAAAACGGGTAAACGTAAATTCGTCCGGCAACTTGCCTGGTCTTCTCTGTATATTTATATCAATAATCAATTATTACTGATTACTAATTTTAGAACAATGACGGTATCGATGGCTATGATGATAGGACGGATGGGTGCAGCCTCAGGAAATTTAATATATCCTCTCTTGTTAGAAGCCGGATGTGCACCTCCATTCTTTTTTGTAGGCTTCATGAGTTTAGGTAAGTTAAAGAGGCAATGTCAAAATTGAAGAATAATCATTGGCGTAGCTAGGTTTTGATTTAGGGTGGAGCAACTCTTTATGCTGATAAGAAAGACAATGTAAATTTTAGAATAGAAGTTTAATAAAATATGGTTTAACAAAGATGTTATGGGCTTTAAATACATCCAGTGTGATCCGAATTGTATTCGGACTCTTCGATAAAGAACAAAATAAAAATAAGTAGAAAAAGTAAAGTTCGTATAAATTTATGTCCTAAAACGCCTCGTTCTTCTTCTAGTCTTCTAGTCTATACCTCCATAAAACTACCATGTGAAAAAGTATACATTTTTGTATTTTTTTACGTAAAAAATATCTATTGGTAAAAATTGTTACGAGCAACTGTTCTCAAGATATTTAGAATAGAAATAGTCAATACATGTCATTATTGACAAAAAATAAACATGTTTAGTAGATAGTTATTTGATTGAAATGATAAATTTGGAAACTTTTTATTTTTTAAATTAATCATAAATTTTTTTCTTGGAAAACATGAAAACTTTTGGCACAAAAACATTTCAAATTTATTATTTCAATTTAATAACTATTTAGTCATACATTTATACGAACTGTTTTAGTTATTTTTATCTGCAGAATATGCTGCCAAAGTTTCCCGAATACAATTTGGACCACCCTGTATATCTACTAATTTTGTTTTCAGATGGTATTTGTATATTTTTTTTTTCAATGTTAAAATATTTTAAATTTCACAACTTTAAAATCATTAACTTAAGAATTAGAATAGTTAGACTAAATATTTATCGTGTAAAGGGTACTCTAATAGTTATGTTTTTACAGGTTGTGCTGTACTATCAATATTCCTGCCAAATACCGAAAGGAAACCTCTTCAGTAAAATCACCAAAGCGAGGGGTGTCCCACTAACTGTTGGAATTACATGTACATTTCCTTGGCAGTCGTGTTATCAGTGGATCATAATTTTATGGCAGACATAGGCAGTCTTCTTTGCAGTCGCTTGGAGTAAAATGATATTTTGGCAGTACATGTACATTTTTAACCCAAGTGAGACAGCTCTCGCATCAAACATACCTAGTATGCTAAGCTATACAGATCCTAAGCTATACAGATATGTGCCAGATATACAGATCAGGGTAATACAACTGAGATTCTTAATTTGTTTGAAAATACTAGAACGTGATAAAAGATGTAATAAATGTTTTTTTTGTACTACCATTAACATACTATAAATTAAATTGTTGTACGAGGTTTTCAATATGAGGATTTTCTTATCACGTAAACGCTGAATTTACATAAAAATTTTACTTTTACGCTTACACTGTACAGAAAAAATGGAAGTCTAAGAAATCATCTCACTGATGCAAGGATGGTAGTTTCAAGGAAGTCGTGATAGTATTAAGAGATCTTACATTATTCTATCAGTATAAATCTCAAAAAATCTTTTTAAACAATTATTATGTTAAAAATAAAAAAAAAATTGGAAATTGACCTAGAAGAAGTTTCTAATTTAAAGTAATAATGAAGATATGTTTTATCTACAAATTTTAAAAAATATTTTCGGTGTGATATTTTCTTAATTTATCAAATTTACAATTTATAAATTACATTTTATACTTAATTATTACTTTAAATTTTCAGGAAAAAAGTAAAAATATTTTATATAAACAGATTCTTTACTGTCTGTTTATGTATAATAAGAAATAGTATATCTACTTAAATAAATAATTGGGGCTATTATACAAGAATTGAAAAACAAATATTTTATTAAAGAGATTCATAGTATAGATGTTACGGACAATGATGTAAAACTGGCCTTTAAGACGTTATTACGTAAAAAAAGTTCTTTTGGTAAAAATCGCTACGAGTAATTTTGAATCGAAATCATCAATACCTGTCATCATTGACATAATTTAAACATATACAGGGTTGTTCACCACATACGACACGGAGTATTGTAGCTAAACGATTATATTTTTACAAATTTCAAGTTTTAGGTTCGATGAAGGACTATTAGAGGTACAATTTAAAAATAATTTACAAGATACAGAATATCCCAAATAAGTAAAAAATATCAAAGTTGTATTTTTTTAAATGGAACACCCTGTATATTATTATATTTTTAGTTTCTACGATTAAAATAAAGGTAAATTTGATTATGGTTTATTACACTTAAACCTTACCGTTTTTGAAATATTTTCAATTTTGTGAAATTGCAGTAAAAATTTTAAGGCTTCATTTCTCCAAGGGTATCAAAGTTTTTAATACTAAATATTTACTGAAGTTTATTTATTGATCAGTTATTGTGTTGCAATAATAAAAATAATATTACCTTATACAGAGTGTCTAAAAATTTATTTTAAATAATTTATAGCTTTAAACGCCAATAACTTGTTTAATTTAAATGGAATGCCCTGTATATTTTAGGAGAATCAGATGCACAATTTAATTGTCTATCAAATTGTATTACACCATTTTTACCTATCCCTTCAAGTTTTCGTAGAAAATGCATTTTCTTATAATTTAGACCTCATTCATCAATATATCCATGGAATATTGACATTTTATTATTGACACCCATGGAATATTGACATCATATATTGACATTCTAGTAACATTATCGTTTTGCTAAAAACAATAATGTTGTATGCAAAAAGAATACTCTTTAAATCTTTATAAAGAGTATACCATTAATTAAATATAGCACCATTATTTCCGCCCATATACTAATTAATTACATACTTAATTGTATTCGTTAATAAATTATTCTAAATAAATGTGGATTTGAGTCAGAAATCAATATAATAATAAGTTATCAAAATTAAAGTCTCTATTGTTATAAATAAGCATTTATTAAAAAATGAAATATCATTTTTAAGGTGTTACTTTTTATCACACTGTCTAATACCCATACAAAATTCAGTTTTTTAGTATTTGGAACAATTATTATTAATCAATGCAGTCAGTTAATGTAGTTTGAATACTGGAATCATATTAATTGGTCCTCTTTAACAAATATTTAAACAGTTTTTTTTTATTTTTAATGAAATAAACGAATTATATCCACAATATTAGTATCTGTACTCTTTAAAAATTTGGTACATCTTTAAAAATAATCTAAAATGTCAATATTCCATGGGTATATTGATAAATAAATTCTAAATTACAAGAAAATGCATTTTCTACGGAAACTTAAAGAGATAGGTAAAAAATGGTATAATATAATTTGATAGACAATTAAATTGTGCATCTGATTCTCGTAAAATATACAGGGTGTTTTATTTAAATTATACAAGTTATTGCCGTTTGAAGCTAATAATTATTTAAAATAAATTTTTAGACACTCTGTATAAGGTAGTATTATTTTTATTATTGCAACACAATAACTGATCAATAAATAAACTTCAGTAAATATTTAGTATTAAAAACTTTGGTACCCTTGGAGAAATGAAGCCTTAAAATTTTTACTGCAATTTCACAAAATTGAAAATATTTCAAAAACGGTAAGGTTTGCGTATAATAAACCCTAATCAAATTTACCTTTATTTTAATCATAGAAACTAAAAATGCAATAATATACAGGGTGTTCCATTTAAAAAAATACAACTTTGATATTTTTTACTTATTTGGGACACTCTGTACCTTGTAAAATTATTTTTAAATTGTACCTCTAATAGTCCTTCATCGAACCCAAGACTTACAATTTGTAAGAATCTCATCGTTTAGCTACAATACTCCGTGTCGTATGTGGTGAACAACCCTGTATATATTATGTTGACTAAATAGTTAACAGACTGAAATCATAAATTTGAAATGTTTCTTTTTTGTCAAAAGTTCAACAGAAACTGTTTTATCATAATATTTTCCATGAAAAATTTATGATTAATTTAAAAAAACAAAAAGTTCACAAATTTATCATTTCGGTCAAATAACTATTAAGTTATTATTGTTCATTTCATATATGACTATTAAGTCGACCGAATTTTTATTTTTTGTCAGTAATGACATGTATTGACTATTTCCATTCTAAATATCTTGAGAACGGTTACTCGTAGCGATTTTTACCAAGAGACATTTTTTGCGTTGAAAATTACGGAAATGTATACTTTTCGTCTCAGTAGTTTTATACAGGTACGGACGAAAAGTTATTACACTAAACTTCAAACCAGTTAATATATATGTAGGTGGCCAACTGCCCCCTAAAAATAGGAGTCATATTGATATCAAAATAAAATTTCTCATGCCAAAAAACTCCCAGACACCAATTTTCATCCAAATCTTGATGTTACTTCAGAAATTATTTGGAAATAATTGAAATAAAAATGAAACTTCTACACCCTGTATCTCCGAAACTAAGCATTTTAGAACATACATTTATACGAACTTTTTTACTTATTTTTATCTGTACAATATGCTGCCGAAGTTTTCGGAATACTGTTCAGACCACCCTGTATACATCAATGTCCGTAACATAGACACATATTGAAATCTTAGATGACCAAAGATATTAATTAATATCTTTGATGAAGACTGTGATAATAATTAGATCCTATTTATGTATAGAAAAGATCTAACTCAAAAATTTTAAATTTAGTAATTAAAAATTATCTAAATCAATACATTATATTATACATAACAGGCGCATCTATTTTAGTTGCAATTTATATGTTCTATCTATTGTTGAAAAGTGAATATTTGAAATGAAAAATAAGGCTTCTAAAAGGGTCTTTTTCGTATACATTTGGTTAAACTTTCCAAATAGTTCCTTGTATACCCCTCTCTAATATATGTTTAATATCTTTCAATATTTTATGTAGTTCGTCCAAACCCTTAATTTTCTAAACTAATTATAAAATATTCCGTTTTCGAAATATGTAATTCATTTTATGACACCCATCATACAAAAATGACATGTATATTTCTCTGGATATAAATACTGTTAGTTTATTTTTATACAATAAAATATTTTTCATAACGCTGGCTTTTCATTTTCAAAACGGATTTTTATTAATTGAATTATTTTTATTTAAACGAAATACTGCTTTTTTAATTATTATTATATTTATTATATTATATTATTTAAATAGTATCTTAATGACTAAGCCTTTTAAAAAAATACTTAAATCTTTTTAATGACTTAAGTCCTTTATAAAAAAAATTAAATCTTTTTTCGGAATAAAGATTTAAATCAGAAATCATTTTCAAAAAGACTTAAATTTTAAGTCTTAAGTCAGCTTTAGAAAAATGACTTAAAATCAAATGACTTAAGTCATTAAAATGATTTAAATCAAAGCAAGACTTAAGTTTTCTGTGAGCTTGCAGCTCTAGTATTGCATTGGTATTGGTATTCTGCAACCAACACCATTTAAAAATCATTTTTACTCAATATAAAAATAAATTACAACCTTATTAAGGTCAACTGACAAGTGACAGTAAGCGCCATTAAAAAATAAAGAAGAGTACGGACCATAGACTTAAAATAAAATATAGACTGAGCATCTCATTCATAAATAGCTGGAACATGCGGTCAGACACTGTCTTGTTATTGTTGTGTTATTGTTTTAGGTTATAACGAGTGCGACACGAGCGATAGATAGGTTGTCTCTGTCGTAACGGTCGTTCCCTGACGACTCTGTCGAGAAACACAACACTGTCTTTCGTTTCTCAAGTACACCTGAACTCTCCGTATCATAGCCGGGTATTTTTTTATTTTAATGAAGCTATAATTAAATTAAAAATGTATCGTATTTAAACTTTTTTATATTTTATTAAGATTTAGGACAGGTTTTTTAAATAAAAGTTAAAAAAAACAATTTAGAGTCCAAAAAGGATAAAAATAATAAAATACACGTTATAGAAGTAATTTTATAATCGAAAATAGGTAATTTTTGAAATTAATAATAAATTATTAATTTTAGTCAAACATTTACAACCCCTAATGTTAATCAAAACAGGATCTATTCCACAGATATAATAGAATCGGCGACAAGAAGAGAAAAAAAAATATGATTGTTGTAATTTTTTTTCTCGCTAAGTGATGTATTATTATGTAAATTAGAGAAAACATAATATCTGTTCCATTAAAGCAAGGAAGGTGATAGGAAGTGGATAAAATAAAAACTACATTTATTTAACTCGGTACTGTCTTTATTATACCGGGTGCGTCTCAAGAGTGGCTCATCCCCATAATTTTTTTATATTTTCAAATAAAAAAACAAGATTTAGTATGTTAGTATATGAAATAAATTAGTTTTTGGTCACTTCCTGTTTCACCGGAAATGACTATAACTTTTAATTTTTGGCACCCTCGGTATATTTCTACTTTATTCGATAGAAAATGACACTCTGAATAGAATGACATACCATATGTCAACTTTTGACATTTTCGCATATGGTTTAATTGTAATTGTAACACGCGGTTCATAACGACAATTCGACTCGAAATACCAAGTGTGTGGAATCAATATATTCATAAAAAAATGCTTTTTCCAAATATGCTAATGAGTCACCCTTGTTCCATTTGAAAAAATTGACATATGTATGATTAAAAATACGATTTGTACATCTTTTAACCGGCCTAGACAAGACACGAAACCTATTAGAGGATCAAAACTATTTTTCCAAGGCTCCTTGATTAAAACTTAGTGGATTGAGAAAAACTGGATTGAAATTTAAAATAGGATATGTTTTTAAGCGACAATGTCAAAGTTGACATATGATATGTCACTCTATTCAGAGTGTCATTTTTATCGAATAAAGTAGCAATATACCGAGGGTGCCTTTAAAATCAAAAGATGTAATCATTTCGGTGAAACAGGAAGAGACCAAAAACAATTGAATACGTCAATAAATCCTAATTTATGTCATATACCTACTAACATACAAAACTGTTTTTTTTTATCTGAAAAAATAAAAAAGTTATAGGGGGTGAGCCACTTTTCAAACGACCC